TTCTCTCCACTGTCTTCTGCGTGCTCCCTATGTATTATGGGTAGGGGAAAGGCAAAGAGAGACTGCTGGGACTGGGGCTGACCTGCGAGCTATTCCTACCCCAGGCTGGCATTTCTCTTCCCAGAGAATCAGTGGGTGAAACATGAAGTTTTGCTGAAGACTCCAGCCCCGACTGCTCTCCAGATACAGCTCCTCCTCTGGAAAGAACAGACTTCTTCCTCATCCAGTCACTTCCTCGAGGCCCTGTCTGTTCTGCTATCAAAGGAAAAGCTTCTCCCACCAAACCTTTAACTTCACTGAGAGCTCTCCTAATCTCCATACTATCACTTCTTGACTGCTTCTAAGCAAGCCCTACTTCCCCGAAAAGAAAATCCAGAGGACTAGATGTCTCTAGGACACAATTACCCTTTCCATAGATAATTAATTCCCATGCGATAATTTCTGATTATCAAGGTAATCAGAGATAATATTGCAAGCACCAGCTGTCAGCCTGCTCTGCACAAAAACTATGACATCCTGGCAGTACCACAGACACAAACCACAAAAGCAACAAAAAGCAACCTGGAATGTGAGACTGCCATTCCCCCATCATGATTTCAGGAGTCAGAAAACAGCTCCCACAAATACAGATGTCCTCATTCGCCCCAGTGGACATTAAGTTTTGGCTTCAGAAAAAATGGTCTGGCATTAAGAAGAATGAAAAATCAACAGTCAAAGCTGAAATGAGCACAGCTATCTGCTTAGAGACACCCTTTGTTAAGCATAATTAGCACCAGATGAGAAGTTTTATTAGCCTCAGATATCGCTAATTATTTTCTGTTGTGACCATAAACATTCACCTGCATAGCATTAGCCTATCACCCACAGTAAACGATACCGTGCTTGTGATGAACCAGGCTCAGGTTGAGATCAAAACCACTTGGGAACAGTGATGAAGTAGTGTTCAAAGCTGCAAAGTGCCAGGAATGCTCCCTTGTGTGCCTCACCCCTCTGTGATGTTCTGAATCTGTTCTGACAATTAAAGGTTAATGACTTTAAACACTAAGACTAGGCCATGCAACAAAACACATGGGAACGTAGATAAACTGACATTTACACGGCACTTAAATGGACATATTAGAGCATAAGCTTAATTGTGTAAAAGTTCCCTAATAAAAGCCCCACCAAAATAAACTACTTAATAGAGAATGACATTTGGGGGTGGAGAAACATGAGTCAGTAGAAGCACTTCTAAAATGAGAAAGTGCTTCTAAAAACTTGAAAACAGAAAAGCTGCCCCAGTGAGCAATAAGTACTGAATTTCCATTTCGTAGAGTTTTGCATTTTGGGAATCACTGACAAAATGGAACAGCTTGGCTTTAAACCAAGTTACAAGTGGGAAAATACAGGTTCTCTCTAAATCGGTTTATAAGGGAAGATAAAAACATAGAATTTAGTGACTCTAGACTGTAGAGATATTAATGAAGAGCACCAAGCTTGAGTAACTCTGGTGAGTTATAAAGAAAAAAAAAAAGAACAATTCCAGAAAAGCAAGGATATAGACTATTCTCTCTGACTCTAGGCACAAGAACTCCTCTAAAATGAATTAAAGCATAATATCAAAGTGATAAGACTGAAGAAACATATCATCGTACAAGTGGAAAAAAAAGTGAAGGAAATAATTCTGCAGGAAATGTCATAAAAATCTTAACAGTACAGTGCCCATCGGAAGCCAAACGGGCATCAAATACAAGAAACCAGTGTTTACTCCCTCCCTCCTGCAAGCTGAGATACAGATAATTGATTCTACTGAAGAATCATTTTGTCATCAATCCCCAATTAAACTTGCACTGCCCTGAGATTCAGATAAGAAGGAACAGCAAAATAAATGTTATCTGTGAAGTTGCTCACAAATCCACTCTTAACAGTGTTTAGGGTTGTTAGAGGGTCATTGGATATACGTAGAAATAAAAGAGAGAGCAGTAGCTCACTGACAACCCTCAGGTCCAAGGCTCTGAACTATCTGCATAACTCCCTCCCTACACAGTTTCTACAAGATGGGCAGCAGGGTGCCCTGTGCCACAGCAAAGCTCTGATCAGCAGCTCTCCCCAGGTTCAGCATCCTTTCATTCCCCAGGAGGGGAATGTGCAGCCAAGAAGAGATGAAGCAGTGTCTGAACACGCTTCCTAGACTGTGAGACCAAGTGGAAAATATTTATCCAATTTTTTTTTTTTTTTAATCCCACTTCCCTGTTCAAGCTGCCAAAAAAGCAACCAGTCCCCTTTTGGGAGGTAATCGTTCCTTGCAGAAGGGAGCTACTCTTCCCCAGGTTTATAGAGGTCAGAAGCAAAGCAGCTGCTACCCAAAGCCACGCAGAGGTCCCAGCCCTTGCAGTTCTGGCACAGAGCTAAAGCAGAATGCAGGAGGACAGGCAGGCTTCAGAAGGAAGTTGTTTTATTTTTTTTAGAAGAGTTGATAATCTGTAACTATTTCAGAGCAAAGTTGAAATGCTTGTAATGAAGTAACTAAAAGGTTTGGCTCCTTGGACTGGCAAAAGAAAGCACACCTCCAGGTTCTTCTGGTTCAACTCCAAAGCGCGCCTCTCGGACTGGGCATTCAACAGCATGTGAAGGGGGGAAAATTCTGTCCAAACAGGTGTTTCCTGGGAGACCTTTGACCAAGCTCTTCCAAGCTAAGCTGTTTGAATACTTTGGAGAAGCCCTGTGTCTCACACTATCTGTCGGCAAGTCACAAGTCTGGGCAGACCGCAGGTTTTGTCAGCCCAAGGACTCTGAAATTCTGCCTCTTGCACAGGAAAGCCATCAGTTTTCTCGCATTTTTCCTTTGGCAGTACACAGGACTGCAGGCATGAGAAGATGCCTTCAGCCATCCAAGCACCACCACCTCTTGTGGACAATCAGCCCCACAGAATGCGGCCTGTGAGGTATTTGGTAGAAGAGCTCAGCACTTCTGAGCGCCCAGGCTGCAGGTGAAGAACACAGCAATAGGTTGAGCCCACAGGCCCAACTAACTCGGGCTTCCTTCAGGAAGAATACATCCCATGACAGGATATTAGCTGTCCCATGACTACATAACCCACACAGCAGCATGTCTAATGGGGTGAACGAGTTCTCTTAAACCTCAGCTGCTGTTTGCTTGAAGAGCAGATAGATGCTAACCCTCCCGGAGCAGGGCCTGTTTCAGGCAGCTCTGCAGGTGACGATGGCACAACCTTGTTTCCCCAAGCACCTTCCTGGTTATGACTTCCTCCCCTGAGACACTCTGACTTTTAATCTCGAGTCCCATTGTTGTTTCTCAGTTCCTGAGCTGAGAGTCCCTCTGTAAAACCAATTTGGGCTAGCTCAGAGGATTCAGGGTCCAGAAGCCAAAAGGCTCCGTCCTCATCTCACAACCAACATATTTACAGTGCCGTGACTTCTCACAGATAACTTTCTTCTGCCATTTACTCTCCATGAGCACCCCAACACCTCCCTGACCAACAGCATTTAGGAATTATTAGAGAACCTTTTGTTCCAAAAGAGTGCCAGAACAGTGTGAAAAGGGAACTACAGCATGCTCTGCCCTTTAAAGATTGCAAGTGTTTAATCCAAAATGCTTGTGTCATACAGAACACCTTCCCAAAATAGCTTGCTGACATATACAGGGTGACAGAGACCAAACCAAATGTCCAAAGCAACAGACCAGCCTGCAGTAATAACAGCTTCTGAGGAGGTCTCAACAACAGCAGGAGACAAACCAAACACTTAACAAGATGTGTTCAGAAGCAAAGTAGCTGTCTCTTCATTTTTTCCCCCACATATTTCACTCAATTTAACAAGTACTGCCAAGCCAAATTCTACCCGAGGTCTTGGAGGAATACAAAGCAATGAATTGTAGTTAGCAACTTTGAACAAACCCTGGGAAGCTGAGGGAGATAGTCCTTCTTCATCACTGCTTCTCTGTGGCTGCTTGTTTTGCATTTTAAACCAATGAGACTGCTCCCAGTGGCAAACGTAAGCCTCTAAGTGACAATCCACCATTACTCAGACCCACTACCTGTGGGGACAAATAATAACAGCAAGCTGATTTTTCACCTTTTTTTTTTTTTTTTTTTTTTTTTTTTTTGAATAGGAATGGCTTTTCCAGCAGTTTCAAGTAGGCACAGATGTTACCAGGTTTTAATATGATAATCTGGAGGACTCTGGAAAGCACGGAGATTTTGGAGAATAGGAAGGTTCCAGTTTGTTTTTATTATAAATTTAAACTTTGCTCCCCTCCCCCTAATGCCTCCTCACACACTCAGATCAGGCTGGGTATCCCATTGGAAAGTTCCACAAAAGGCTAAAAGAACAGAAGGCAAATTTCTCCCTTTTCCCCTTTTTTTTTTTTTCCTGCTTGATGAGTGTTGTTAACAGCAGGACAGATTTAAATGGAATCTCAGACTGGCATCTTGCTGACCTCAATCCCAGCTGGCTAAACCTTTGTAACACTGCTGTCCTTGGCATCTAACAGAGAGCAGACATCAATTTAACTGATTGACTGCAAAACTGTGAATCTGGTATGAGGAACTAGATCCATTCCACTGCCTTGCATACTGGATAAAAGACTGCTTTATTTCTCTCTCTCTCCTCCTAGTACTTCATCTACAGTAGCAGGCTTGATACATCCATCAGCGCACAACAACTCCTCTGAGGCTGCTGTGCTCACAGGACTGTATGCACCACACACAGTTCATTTTGGAGAGAAATGCTTCTGCTTCCTCCAGAGACATCTGTTTTAAAGGGACCTTCAGGTTTTTAAAGTGCGTGCCAAACCATCACACCACTTCTTTATCAGGAAAGGCCTTACCCCCCCACCCCCAGTCTTTTTTTTTTTTAATTAAGGCAGAACAGCAGAAGGTCGCAAATCTTATGTTAACAAACAGCCAAGTTCAAAACCAGTTCAAACAACTATGCTACAACCCATAAAATAATTACACACCTGCAACACAAATAGAGCATAACAGAACAGAGTCCATTACCTGTGCATGTGTCTATTTGACTATCGCCTGTTTTCCACTCCAGTAGCTCACTGGGGGACTGCTCCCCTCTTCGATTTATTATCTTTGAAAAGCCACTTGAGAGAGTTGAGAAGATGCCACGGACAAAATAGCCATGCTGCTCACAATCCACGGAGCGCACCGCCTGCAGAAAGGGCTTGGCATTCCTGCTTGCAGACTGCGGCACAGGTTCAGACAGAGAGCGGTTGAAGGGAACCCGCGGCGATCTGGTCCTTGTCTGGAAAAGCATCTCTGTTGAATCTTGTTGGAGATCTTCGGTGCTGGTAGCATCCATGCTCACAGAACTTTTGACAAGACTCGAATCGTTACCTTCCCCTCTAAGGCTGCAAGAGCGCGCTCTTTTGCTTATCCTCCAGGGAAGACGAGGATGAGTTTGCCACCTGTAGGCTCCGAGCGCTTTCTCTGGGTCCAAAACCATTTGTTTGCTCATTTTCTTGCTTCTCATTCGGTGGTGCCAATGATAGTCCTTCAAGGCAGCAGTGCCAGCATCTTGTTCTGATAAAGACCTCCTAAAGGCCCTGGGAGAGAGACTGTAATACTTTTTAAAAGCACTCATCTTCCAGCTCTTGAATTCCAGATTTCAACTTACATCTCTCATCACTCAGAAGTCACATAGCTGTAGTTCCTGGCTCAGAGTTTTCATGCCCAAATCATCTTCGCTGCCGCGACCAAAGGACAACAGAGGTTCTTCATGAAGAGCCTGAGCATCAATCCCAGCAATTCCTACATCTCAGCAAGGAGGACAAGTCCGCACCTACAGCAAGCTGCTCTCCAACGCCACGCTGAGCCTCACTATGCCTGCTGCTGCTTCCTGCATTGTCGCAGCTCTGCACCGAGCTCGCAGGAAATGACTAAAAGAACCCAGCCATGAAAACCCACAGTGGTGATCTGCACCAATCACACTTCACTTTTTTTTTGGTAGACATTAAAGATTTGGTTAAACAAAGGGAAAAAAAAAAAAAATCACGTGAAAGTAGAGTCACAGCTCTAGAGCCACAGCAGTCTCCAAAAAGTGTTAAAATTGCAATGTTCTGCTTAGGAGCATGCACATTATGTTCTTCAGTTAAGAGGACTGTACATCAAATAGAGCAAGACAACATAAAGGCAATCCTTAGAGTTTATATTTACCATAAGAACCTTGCATCACCCCAGAGTTTCCTTCTAAAGAGCAGTAAAATACTCAGAGTCATCACAATTGGGCACTGGAAGCTTCACAGAGCAAAGGCGAGGAATGGAGTAAGGAGAAGGAATGCTGTAACTTAATATAGCGAGAGTGTAAATACACCAAAGGCAAATAAGTAAAGGGGAGGAGAAAGAGCAGAGGGTGGGTGGGACTTCATCCATCATGCACTGAAGCAGAGGTTGGGAAAGCCTTCAGGCATTATTCTCCAGCCAACAGAACATGATAGAGGGCATCTCTGTCTTCTTCTTTCTTCCTTCCTCTCAAAAAAAAAAGAAAAGAAAAAATAAAAAGAAAAGGGCTTTATTTTCATATATCTAGTTGGAATAAGGAGGGTGGAAAAAAATAGTCCTATCTGCTTAATCGAGAGGAAAAAAAAAATCCCCTCGCCTTCTCTACAATTTAAGAAACAGCTGACTGTTTTAAAATCTCACAAAGAAAATATCTGCTGGTGAACTCAGAGCATGCTTGCCAAGTTTTAGACCAGAACACTTAAATCTCAAGTCTACTAAAATCCCTGAAAATAGGAGGTTTATAATGGAAATGCTGACAGACACTTGGCAATCAAGTGACAATGAAAACCACTTCTCTGGTTAAATAAAATGATAATCTGCTCTGGCAGACCAATAAAGCTTAACTGACCCACTATGGGATCCCGCCTTTAAGTTCTGACAGCATTCATCAGCCAAAGTACATTCCTGACAGCTGTAGATGCAAAACTTCCTTCCTTCTGTATGTGTATCGAAGAGGGTGTAGCTGTACAGAGGCTGCTTGAAGCTGAGACACTGCATTACGAATTCTGCATCAAAACCACTGAAGCTGACTCTTCTTCATTGGAGTTGTGCTGCTCAATGCACAAGCCCTCAATGGTAACACATACATAAACAAAAGCTCTGCTGCAGTTTCCATACAGGGTAAGGATCCTCGGGGAGGCACAAGGCTGAGTGCTCCAGCACGACAATGAGATGGAGAACTCACCAGGAAAAAACTTAGCTTGCTCCTCTCCAAGCAAACCGGGAAACACTTATCTGATTTTTGATCTCAGACATTGCTGAAAACGTGATGCAGCTCATCTTGTCCAATGGACTCAGTCCCTTGTGTCGAGGTCTTATAAATAATTCCCAACGTGACCCTTACCAACCACTGATAGTTTTTCTCCTCCCTCTCACAGAGCACAGAAACACAGGAGCCTGTGGTGCTGAAGACTGAGGCAAAGACAGCATTAAGCACCAAGACCGTTTCTGCTGTTACTCGGTCACCAACCTCTTTCAGCAGCGAATCTTGGTTTTCTTGTAGAGCCTGTGGTAACAAAAGCAGCAGCAACGCTTCGAACAAATGCTTTGAATTACCCAGTCTGGTAAAACAGGCTTTATGGAACTTTAGAAATAAGTGTAAGTAGATCTGACAGACGACGCTGTGGTTCATTCTAATGGCACAAGCCACAATCAGCAGAGAAAACTGAGAATGTGTGGTAGGTTTCTGGCCAGCCCTGCAAGACTTGCACAAGGTTTCCACTAACACATGTGCACCAACTTCTGGGAGCACACAAGGGCAGGAGAGGACAACACAGACAGCTGGTGTAATAGCTGAAGTCTTCCTGGGATCTGCTTGCTTCAGATTTCCAGCATGCTTTGTAGCAGCTACTGAGCTGAGCACTGACATAAAGCATGTTTTTTGCAACAGGGCTTTAAAGCACGTGTGCTGGATCAGAGGATTGGGTATGACCAACATCAGTGACTCAGATCAGACAGTCCACCACCAGTTACAGCAACATTATTCTAATGTAGGACTTCAGCCTCGCAGCAGCATGGACAGAAGGAAAGCTAAGGTGGGACGTTGGCCTTGGCATGCAGCCATTGGTGATCACAGAGCTGCTCTGATCCTGTGTCACCTTCACATCCTTGCCCTGTGGGAACCCAAAAAGTAAGATTGTTTCACAACCCTGTTACACAGATTGCGAGCACAGATCTCCCATCTCCAGAGAGGGAACACACAGAGACCAGCAGGGTACCAACTTACAGACTGTCACACCACGCAAAACCCCTTATGAGTGAATTTCCACTTTAAATCCTTGTTATCAGTGTGGCCAGGGCTTAGGCAGCAGTTCTATACGGAACTCACACAAAAACACAGGCTTCATTAAGCACTCAACAAGGAGCTCGAGAACATCAAAGCCACAGTTTAAGCTCAAATAATGTCAGAAAGGTCTTCGCTTTCAACTTTTGATTTCATTTTTGATTTCTTGTCACCATTGCTCAGATGAACACGTTCCTTGATCAAAGAAAAAGACTGCCTTCACTGAGCAGAGATCTCCCTGGGTGCTACACAGGGGACAAAATGGTCTTTCTCAAAGGAGCTCTAAATAAGGCATGAGGCTTGCACATTATTGATATAAAACCACTGACACACAAGTTTGCTTAGTCTACAAACTAGCCAATTCTTTTAAACTGTTAACTCAAATATTTTAGCTTGGGCTCCAAGTCCAACCGGATCCTTTCTTCCTTCTGCACATCAAACACAGACAGGGTAAGGCCCAAACAAAGCATTCATCTATCCTCACCCAACATCACCCAGGTAAAACCTCACTTGGCTTCAGCATCTCGTTTCCAAGTGAGATGCAAAAAGGTAATCCATGTAACAGAGCCGCTCTCTCCTTCATCCAAGGTCCCTGTGTGAAAGCTCGAGTTGTTTCGGAGCAGCAGTTTATCTTGGGAAGCATTTGCACGGTCAGCTATCACAAAACAGTCACCTTGCCCAGTGACTGCTGGCACACTGCACAGTCACCAACCACACAGAGCCACCCACTCGGCCGCCAGCAGGGAAAATAATTGCACAGGAGGAAAGGAGCTTGTCAATTTGCTGGAATATTTTCACTCATGCTCCTGCTTTTATTACTTACTGCATAAAAACAGTATTGCTCCTCGACTGGCAAATTTTCTTCAAGAAAGGTGTGTGTTTTTTTTTTGTTTTTTTTTTTTTTGCTTCAGTATGCTTGCAGATCATTGTGCCACATCATTCATTAAGCCTTTTCAGAAAATTACTATTTTCTTCCTAACAATCAAGTCACTTAATCATCTGATTTGACATGTTTAACAGCATATATTTCGCTGTTCCTAGATATCTAAGTAATTTATGCCAAAAATGCAGATTTGCTAGACTGAAATATAACTGTATTCCAGCTTTAGCATTACATTGGGTAAACAATCTTGCCTAAATTTATAACAACATTTCACAGAAAACTGACACAAATAGCATTACATTCTCACTGAGCATACGAAGATAATTCTTTGGCAGCAGACTCCTGTGTGGGAAGTCCTCTCTCCACCATTCAGCTTTCCAAAAATCCTACACAGCTCTGCTGCATGGAGTTCAGAAATCCCTCACGCTATCTGCTGCTTAATAAATACCAGCAGCCAATTAAAAAATAATAACAACAGAGAAAACAAAAGCAGCATTGCCAAGCAGCTGGAGGGAGAATGCGCCTCTGATGACAAAAACTTTTAACACTGCCTCGCTCGGAAAGCTGTCTTGTGTTTGAATAAAGGCACGCGCTAAAGCACAACGTTTGGGTTCATCTTTAGTGTACAGCTTACACCAAGAAAAAGATGAATTGAAACCTTCCATGATTGAACTACTCCATTTAAAATTAGTTTTGGACCAAGCACAAACTTACCAGCTTCTCATTTTCTAAAATATTTTCCAGGAGGGGGAAGTGGGGGTAGAGCAGAGTGAAATGAAAGAAGAAGAAAGCACCAAACCCCTACCGCCATCCCTGAAGGCTCATTCTCCATACTTGGGACTTTGACCAAGTCCTCTTCTTGAAATCACAACCACAGAGATTCAGAAAGTCTTTGCAGAAGATTCCAGGTTGCATTCCCAGCTACCAGCTAACAAATGGGTTCTTCAGTGCATGGAGAAGTGAATCACATTGCACCCTGCATCCTCCCCCAACTAACCAGAAGTGATTGGGCTGGTCAGCCAACCCTGACTTTTCAGCCGGGATCCCTTTAGCGCCTTTCCCCTTCAACAGCAGTCCAACGCTCACCACATTGGCACCATCCATGGAGAAGTAATCAATATATAAAGCAGAAATCATCACAAAACTCTTCCAGTTGATCCAATTTGACACTTAGCTAAACAGCGCAGCAGAAGATGAAAGATTTTTCCTTCCCTTTAAATTACAGACTTTTCAAACTATTAAGTTCTGTTTATGCGAGGCTTAGTAATTAATGACTTAACATCCCCTTCCCATCCCCTATCACCAACACGCATCTGTTTCCCCCCCACCAACATTTCCTGCAGGTGAGTATCACTTCTCCTTGGAATTGCACGCACCCATGTACCTGACTACTTCATGCTTAGCGCACTGTGTTACGCAGAGAACAAATGAAATGGTATCTCTGTAGCATTTGGGATCACAGTGACTCGAAGACTGAGGCTTGCTGAAAGTAGAATGGGTATGTCTAGAATACTGATAGTTTACTGAGTCCAAATTAGAGTCCCCAGGAGCAAAGCTCTGAGCTGGGAATGTGCCTCCGTGACTGCACAGGAAGCTCACCAGTCCCAGAACCTGTCCCAAAAACACAGGTTGCTCTCCCTAGCACTATGCTGAGAATGCAGTGCATCTACAAATGAGCTAAATAGTGACACTGGCACATCTACATGCCAGACAGCACCTATTTTTTATGATCTGTTGTGACACTCCTGTGCTGAGGCACCCTGTAACTGCTGTACCACCATCACATTGCATTTCCTATCTTCATTGAAGTCCTATCTTCACTACAGCAAAAGATGGATAACCACCAACTCAAACCTGCATGGCGAGGAGGGATGCTTTCTGAAGGAAGGTAGTGAAAAGGTCCTAAACACATCTGCTCTCTAACCTCCTGGCAAAACTTCTGCCATTGCCCCGCTGATACAGACTTGGAGGAGGTTT